CAAACTGCTGATTTCCGTTGATTCTAATCGCTTCTATAGCGCTTAGCATCGTCCAGTGAAGATCAATTATTCTTTAATTCGAAACAGTGGGCACACGCGCCCGCTTTCTGCTCGTCTCCTCCAACTGCTAGTCTGGCAAAACAAAGGCAGGCAACCGTATGGGTTTGAGCCCGCGTGACGTGAAAATATTGTTTATCTCTAACTTTCGCTCTAATTGGCAACTTCCGATCTCACTTTCATTCAAGTAATCGAGGATAATTCCTCACAAAGGTTACAATTTGCAGCTTTTGATCATTTACTTTCAGTTTCCTGTGTTTACTCTCAGTTTCCTGTTTACTTTCCTACGAGGGATCTGGTAATTTTTATAGGAAGGATAATTCTCACCACCTCCTCCCCCGCTTTTAACCGACACTTCTCAAATCATCGAGCCGTGTAGCTTCCTAGCTTCCATCCCCAAGAACCACAACAAACCTCTTTCACTTTCAATTATCGCTCCTCACCCATTTTTCAAGCATGTTTAAGGTCGATTGGTGTCCAACATATATGCCACAAATCATTACATTTACCCTTCTCTAAACAACCCAAAAGCCTACTCTATTGTTCCACTTCGTTAACAGTTTTGCTATCGATACAAGGTGTAGAAAGAAGATATCGAAATTAAGCAATCAATCAATCGTGCTCACATTTCCACCACTAGCGACAAAAGTACGACCGGACTCCCTTTCCCGCCGGTGCGCACGTGTGTCGTTGAAAAGGCGGTCCGAAACCAAACTACTGAGAGAAAATTTACACGCTGGCGGGAGGAGGGTCGCGTTGTTATTTTGTCGCCGGTGAAGGAAATTTGTTCGTTGTAAGTTACAGCAAACGTTAGAGGTCAAGAATGTTACGTGACTTTACATCCCATATGGTTGCCTACCTGTGGTCAACTTCTGCTTTCCAGCACGGTAAATTCATAAGATGAGTCGGTCCACGTCAAGTCAGAGCTGTCGGGCTAAACTACTCGATTCTTACAATCCGCGTATTAGTGTCGCAATTTGGATCAACCCTCTTTTCAGAGGATTATTCAATTTTCCATTTTACTGGTTTCCTTTAATGGTGAGTGACGTTGGACTTTAGCTCACGTTGAAAATTAATGCTCTATTACCGGTTTTCTAATTGTTTGTTTGTCCTAATTTTTCCTAGGGTTAGAATTTTGCGTTGGTAAGCCACTTAATGACACATTTCTTAGTGTTATGCACGAACATATAAATCAAATACATGAAATGTTTGAGTCTGGATTTGAAAAAGTTCAGGCAATATTACATGAATTGAGCAAAAGCAAGCATGAAGAACAAACAACAAGACAAGACCCGGATAAAATGTTAAGTGATGTCAGTGTCTCCGCAGCAAAAGATAAATCTATAGTATTTGATGCGCCAGATCGAAACAAGAGGTTTACAGGAAGACAAAAAGAGTTAGAATCGCTTGAAAGGTGCCTCCTCTCAGAAAACAGCGACCATAAATTTAGAATGGCGGCCATTTGTGGTCTTGGCGGATGTGGAAAAACGACCTTAGCAGCTCAATTCGCTTGGGAGCATAAACCACATTACGAGGGAAGCGTATTTTGGTTCTCCATGGAAGATGAAGAGAAGTTTGAAAGCTGTGTGAATGACTTAGCGTTACGTTTAGGACTGATGGAAATATCATCAGATCTTACACTGGCACGAATTCTAACGCTTATATCTAAGCAGGAAAAGCTTTGGCTGCTGGTTCTTGACAACGTCGACCAGCCAATACTTTCTGAAAAAATGCGTAAAGTTTTGAGAGGAATATGGAAAAGGGAGTCAAACGGTCACATGTTGGTAACAACAAGGCGTGAAATAAAAGAGATCTGTCGGTGTGTGGATGTTGAGCCAAATTGTTTTGTAGAAATCACCTCTTTCTCTATCGAGGAAGCAAAAGAGTTTCTTTTGAGTCATTTCAGCGGTGAAAATGCTGCAGTCCAGGAGGATGCGCTAAATGAGCTGGTTGTTGAGCTTGGTTGTCTTCCCCTTGCCTTGGAGCAGGCTGGTGCACATATCAAATCTCTTGGCTGCACTGTAAATGAATATTTGAAACAATACAAGCTCGAAAGGTTCAAGCTGCTAAGCGAGCATCGGGCAAATCCCTCGAGGGAGTACGACTCCTTGAATCGTCTTTCAGTCCACACTACATGGTTATTGAACTTTGAGTACGTAAAGAACTCAAGATATGGAGAAATTGCAACCAGGTTCGTATATGCAGCTGCTTCCCTTGATCCCGATGAAATCTATGAAGGACTCATCAATGCAGTGATAATTTCCTCTGACGTTGTATCTGGAAACAAAATAGAACTCCCCCTCACGAATAACCATATGGTAGAAGTTTTGACCAAGTTTTCACTTTTCCAGAGGAAGTCTGTTGGATGCATGAGAGTACATCGCCTAGTGCAGCAGGTTATTCGTGGTACAATGACATCAAAAGAAGTCGAAAAAGCAGTTTACACAACATTTCAGTTACTAAAGAAGGCCGCTCAATCACCTGGTGAATCAGCAACAGATAAGTCTGTTTTCTCCATTATTCGCCATTGGTTGGCATTGAAGCGATACGTCGAACAACAAGTTAGAGCTACACCGGATGACTCATCGGCTGAGAAAGTAGCAGCATTGATGAAAAGCGGTTCTAGAGAAATTGTGTTCGAAGTCTCTCGCACCATAAAAGGGCTATCGCAAACTTTAGAAAACCGTCGTGGATTATTAGCGTTGCTTGATGTCGACTACGACAAGTTTCTAGGTAGAAAAGAGCTAAAGAATGAAAATAGAAAAAGCGAACCCGTAAGATTGCTCTCTCGATCTCCCTCAAGATTGCTCTCAGGATCGTCCTCAGGATTGCCCTCAGGATTGCTCTCAGGATCGCACTTAGGATCGTCCTCAGGATCGCCCTCGGGATCGCTCTCAGGAGCACCCTTTGGATCGCCCCAAGAATGGTCCCTAGATATGGCCCTTAGACCCCCCGGGATCACCACCAGAATTGCCCGTAGGATCGCCATGATATTCCTCTGTGGCAATCCACGTTCTCGTCGTAGTGGTCACCAATGAACGCCATTCACAATGCTTGAGCAAGCAGAGTCGCGCGCATTGTGAAGGTCTCATTTGGTGGGAAATTATGAAAATGTTTTCCCCAGAAAACTGCCACCAAAGCTATCGAAAGCTTAATCAAATATACCGAACTTGCAGAACTTGAGAGACCGTCTTCTTTTCAGTTTTGAAGAAAACCTTCTAAACGGTGAAGAATTCATCCATCTATATGATATAAATACTTCAAAGAACCCTAATGTTCCTCGCTGGCGGTGCGACCCATTCGATTTAGATGAATTACTAAACGACAAGTGTAAATACTTAAACAGGAAAAGATTTCAAGATCGATAGAAAATAGCTATTTTAATTTCAATGAAATTGTCAATCCCTAAAAGTACCGACAATACGGATATTATCACTTTTTATTTAGAGGAGCATAACAGTATTTCACCGTTTAAAATAGGGGTTGAATTAATAACTTTCATTGGTAGATTGTAACCTCCAAATCATGCGACTGCGTAAGCGAAGGTCGGTCTTCTTCAGTTCTGAAGCAAAAACGCCCATGTGCACGAAATCAATTTGTAGACTTACTAAACAGAAACCCAGAGAAGCACTTTTATTTCTATCTCTTTCTGAATCCATAGCGTTTCGTTTGTTTGTGTATATAGTTGTATCACTCTTTGATTTCACGATTTTATTTCATTTTAAAACAAAACGACACTTCGGGCCTGTTCATGAAAATTTTCAAGAAAAATACAACAATGTGCATCCTGATTAGAAATCTAGATTTTTTTTTTTTATTTAAAGGTTACATACATAGTAATAAAATAAAAAATGATCAAATCTAGTATGGAAATGCTTTTGTGTCGGTAACATGTATAAAATGCGCCACAACTTTATGCGCACCTAATTTTCTCTTGCCTGGCGTCAGACTCAAATTGGCGTTATTCAGTTTAGTTTTGCTGTTGCGATCGAATTTGCTTGAAATCTTCCACTTTGACACGGATCACAAAGACAAAGGGTGGCAATAAGTAGTTTGTTTTTTTTTCGAGGGAGATATTTTTATTTGGATCATAATTTTTAACGGCCTTTGGTCTAAAACAGTGTCATGTTCTGTCGTGAGGTCTTGAGTTGTTCTGATTTTCCGAATAAAGTCACTGTCAAGTTCAAGGAGGCTTACACCATAGTCTTATTCATAGTCTCAGTCGAAAGAGCGCCATCGACAAAGTGAAAATCGCAGTCGTAAACGGTATCATAAGCTGACCGGAATCGGTGTCAGAAAAATCGGAACTGTTCCATTTACTTCCGATTCCCCTCATGACTCCAAAGCTTATGATCCAGTGAAAACTGAATTGCCGGAGTCGCAGGCAGAGGTGAAAAAATAAACCAATCACAATGCGAGTACTCAGGCCATCCGATTGCTTTCAATCCGACAATCCAGTTTTCACTGGATCGTAGGAGACCACATTTCTTCTGATTCCATAAGTTTGATTTTCTTTGAATCATATCGCCTTAGCCAACTCTGACTTTGTCGCGAATGGAAACCAGCCTTATGTGAAATAAGTTCAAATGAATTACTTCTCGATTTTTCGATGGTTATTCGTATTGCTCAGACATCCATACCCTATCGAGTCTTAGCGATAAAATCGAGTTCACACATCTATCTGTGAAACAAAATACTTGTCAAGTGCACTTGTTCATAGAAATAAAGGTGCTCTTACGAATTTTAGATGACCAAGAAAAAAGGGGGAGAGGCAGGCAAAAGGATTAAAAGGATTCAGAGTCGACTACAAAAATGATAAGAAACTTTGTCAAGTGCTCTTTACAGGATCTAATACGCTTTAACCATTGAGGCTTGACAAAAATTCGTCCCCGGGTGGGCTTGAACCACCAACCTTTCGGTTAACAGCCGAACGCGCTAACCGATTGCGCCACGGAGACGAGTTACCATTGAACACTACGCTGAACTGAGAAATTCTCTTAGCAGCTGTGCGCTAACACTTGCAGGGTTTTCTTTGGTAATCCTCACCACATTTGTATGAGGGTCCATAATTGGTCTTTTCGGGATCCGGGATATGGCTAATTTAAAGGCCGGGATCCGGGAATTTACAATAAGAGGGGAGCGGGATGCGGGATGGTTATAATAAGCGGGACTCGGGAATCTGCGATTTTGAGGAGCGGGATTCGAGAAATAATCATATCAAACGAACCGAGATATCTAGGTGTGAAATGATTAAAAGGGGAATACAAAATGGCTCCTTTTTTTTGTTGCGAAGTCTTTGAAAGTCATCGAGATTGGTGGCCGTACGTTTGTTCTTCACTTCGACTCAGTTGAGGATTGAATAATATATGAATCTCAACAAGGCTTCTGTCCTTCTGTTGTAGATTTAAAATTTAAATTTCCCTCCCAGTATTCGCCAAAAACAATCAGAAATCTCGAGTAAATCTACAACATATTTATTGCTACAGAAAACTTATTTTCACGGGCCAATTAACAATACTCCGCGATCGATCGATTACTATACAATTCACACATCACTATTGTAAATTAACGGCTTGATATTTTGCCTGTGTTCAATAACACAAACAGTAACAAAGAAAACCATGTACACGCAGAGCTATATGTAGATTTAAAAACGAGCACGTTATCAATCCTTTTTCATCCACAAGTTGTGAGGGAATACTTTTCAGTACATAATTCGCATTTAACAGTACAGCACCACACGAACTTACATCTACATTTGACCTGCCTGTGACGTTCTGCTGTCCGATGTGGCAGATTACAAGAATTACATAGCGATCTGCACTTTTCTTCGGATTCAAGGTCACTTACGCATGTCCTTCCTCGCAATCCAGGTAAGCCCGCGGTCGAATTACGCACGCAGAAGTCTGGGGACGAGTTAAGATAAACCAATTTCTTCTGTTTCCTGGTCACCAGTTTGTCACGGTTGTTGTCTCGTCTGTGAAGTTTGCTATTAATGAATGACACCCGAATGGCTGAACGGTATTTTCTTTTTAGCTCCTGTCCAACCACGTTAAAAAGGGCCAGTTCTTTCCAGCAGGTTTTCATGGTACAGCTTCCGGTAACGCCATGGCATCTACACTCTTTTCTCAGCTTTGAGCGGACCACCTAAATTGGATGAATGAAAAAAGGAACATCAATTCTCGGTTACCTTCATGACAATAAACATCCCGAATAAATTTACTTTTCCGTCAATTTTTGGAAAAAAAAAACAGGTTTGGCATACAATCATAGCACAGTGATGATAATAAGATTTGAGTTAACATTTTTTACAGATAAAGAAACAGAAAAAAAAATTAATAAATAGCCTACCTTTCTTCCTACTTGATTATTGTGCAGGTTGAACGCTGTACGAGCGTCGTTTCCTTTCTCCAGTTTGTCAATAAACCGTCTCGTTTCCTTCTCTCCGAACTTGATGTCGTCACTGCATCCTCCCCACTGCCAGTCGCTCTTTCCTTTTGGTTGTTTCCTTGTTTTTCCGCACCTGCATCCGGGTATTCTGTTCTGTCTGCACTGAACAGTGAGTTCGTGAGTAATAGCAGCTGCACTAATGGCGTGAAGGAAAGCTGTTTCTCGAGTTGCTGCAATGAAAAAGAGAAGTGGGTAAGGAAGAGCGTCCACAGAGCACGGTCATGAAACACAAAATATAAATAGATAGCTTTGATATATATATCTATATGTGTGTGTGTGATTCACATAGACGGCGTGTTTCATGACGTGTTACTACGTCTCTAATTTCAAGAAAAAAGTTGAAAATGCCTATTTTTACCGGGTAAGGAATTCCGAATTCTAAATTCTTCATTACAGAGCATTAAAAAGGACATTTTGAATTTGCTCTACTAGATTTTGCTCACAGGACGTTTAAAAAGCTTCTACAAGAACTCGGGTGAAAATTCGAGGCGTTTCTTAGCAAAAATGGCGCGGACCAGGTCAGACTTAATCTCAAGCTGTTAAATACGTAAGTACTGCATGGGCATTGCTTACAGCGTAAACAAAGTTCAAACTCAACTTACCGTGGGGCAAAGTTCTTTTAAAAAAGATGGGTAACTTCTGAAATACATTCTTGTCGTGCAATGAGCAGTTCCAAATCTCGTTCTGAAATAACTTTTGGCACTCTGCCAGTCCACGATAACCTCCCTCCTTGACAATACTCCATAGCAAATTGTAACTCTAAAAAATAAATGATTGGGAAAATAAGTGCATTGTGCGTTGTTTTACTGCCTGGCTTCACAAAAACCACGAACAGGTAGAAAATCCACGTACTGTAAGTCATCATAACAATTTATTCGCATAACAACATGATTTCGATTGCAATTTGTCTATAAAGTAAATTATCCAAGGACGAAAAAATTGCTTGAGCCCGTAAGGTGAGTGGCTTTTGGTAGTCATTAAAAAATTTACAAGAGCTGATGTACACCAAATTTCACAAGGAATCATGTCTTTACCTTTTAATAATTCACGTGAAAAATGCATCCACCCTGATACGCACTTAAAAAAATCGCAACCATTGATACTCATCACATACCAGCAAAAAAATTAATAGGCACAAAACGCAAGTGTATTGAACTCATTCCGATAGTGAAATTAACTTTACAGCCTTAACACTATTACAATTATCATAATCATTTTATCATCTACATACCCTCTGTCGAAGAAAACTGCTTTCCCTGATACTGTCAGACCTGAAACGAAACAAGTATCTAGTTAGATGGCATGGTTCTTTCGTTACATAGAAGATAGCATATCTTGAACTCTATGCTCTGCGGTTGAAGAACTTGATCTTTAATTTTGTTATTTGTAGATAAACTGTTAAGACTCTTTACAGTAAAAACTTTGTTTTCCGTTTCTATTTCTTCGTTTCTTTCGATTCTGATCATTTCTAACTTGCGAACTACGTTTTGCCTAGTTAAGCATCACTGTTATAAATTTACGGACAAAAATCGCAACGAAAATAACACCAGCAAATCATATCTAAGTAGCCTCTAATTTTTGTTTTCTTCGTGCTAAATTGGAAGTAGATAAACTGCGTTGTAAGTAGCCTCTATCAAGAGTACAATTTCAAACTGTGTTTGCCAAAACAGCTATGAAACCTGTTTTCGTTTAGTGCGAATGGGGTAAAGCATAAGTTGTTCACTTCTCACGCGTTTTCAGCGTAAACTCTTCGTCAGAGCGTATGGCTGCTCACTCTGTTTGAAAATGAAATTTAAATAAAGACTTACTTTGTAGTTTTCCTGTCTTCTTGCAAAGAAAGA